ATGCAAGAAGCGTTCCAAGTTGTCATCAAGAAGCAAGTTGAATTTCTGATTGCAAATGGTGTTGATCAAAGACTGAAGGTGAAATGCATTCAGTGCTAAATGTAGAATGATAAATTGCATTGTTGCCTTTTTTACTAATAAATAAATAAATAGGAATGAAAGGAATGAAAATTATGATAGCATTCCTTCCATTTAGCATGTATCACCTTCCATTCAGAATGTCTCCATTTCATTCAGAAATAAGAACGCTTCCCTTCCCATTAGAATGTATCCCTTCTATTCAGAACATAACCCTTCCATTCAGAATGTATCTCTTCCATTCAAAAATGTATCCCTTCCATCCAGAATGTCTTCCTTCCATTCAGAAATAAGAATGCAATTCTTCCATTTAGAATGTATCTCTTCTTTTCAGGATGTATCCCTTACATTTAGAAATGTATCCCTTACATTCATATTGCATTCCTTGCATTCAAAATAAATCCCTTCCTTTCTGTATAACCCTGCTACAGTATCAGGGTTCGTGCAACTCCTTGAAATCCTTGAAAAGTCCTGGAATTGAAAACTCGTTTTCAAGGGCGCTTGAAAAGCCCTTGAAAATGGGAAAATTTGCTAAAACTCCTGGAATGCTCCTTGAATGTGACGAAACTGACATGTTGCTTTTTGCCGTTTGGGTTAAAATGTGACTATTTTTGAATATCGCCACTGGAAACATCCTCAAACATCAACAATATCCTCAAAAATAGTCCTTGAAAATCGCATTTTTGTGCTTAAAAAGTACTTGAAAAGTCCTGGAATTTTGTAGTAAAAATGTTGCACGAACCCTGAGTATGAACATAGTCTTTAACTTTTCTAAATTCAATGCTTTGTACGAGATGAGGTTCACAACCAATTGACCATATCAATGCACAGCAGTCTGCTTGTAAAAGGCTAATTACATGTAATATTTCTTCCCGCGCAGGATGTAGTTGGTCAAATTTGGTTCAAATATTTAAGTAAGACTGGAATAGCATTTTTAGACTCCAAAGATGGTGAAGTGACATTGCCTGGTAAGACAAGCAAAAAAGGAGTCATTGCCCACAATACCAGAATGCTTGGCAAAGAGAAGCCAAGAAAGAGGAAAAAGCATCCCATGACAGAAGACGAATTGTTAGAACTTTGCTCAGAGATGTCAAAAGATGTGGATGAAGGTAGAGCATTGTAGTGTGTTAAACTAGCAAGAAAAACTGAATTAATAATGAAATGTTTATTTTTTATTTAAAGAAGAAGACAGTGACTCGTCTGGCGACCCCGACGATGTACAAAGCTCATCATCTGAAAGTGAACTGGAGTTGGATTTTGTTGGTTCGTATAAACCAAAGCTTGCAATTCAACACAGAGGAACAAATTTAAGGAAAACTATAGCTTTTACGTATTTGGGGCTTGTGATGCTGAATGAGCCTATCTTTCTCAGTGATTTACTAAGGTGAGATGTACTTTTTTATTGATGTATTTAAAAATTAAACAGTTTGATTAGCAGACCTCTGCTTATTGCTTTCTTTCATGTTATGGTTATTGGGATTCCTGTGGATAAAGAGAGAAGACTGGTGTCTATCATAATTCTTGACACAGGAAACCCAATGCAAAAGAAATGAAGCAAGGAAGCAAATTGTACACTGGTTCCAGAGGTTTGATGTTTTCTAACAATAGCGAAGAGGGAAAACATCAAACTTCTGGAACCAGGGTAAGCAAATTGAGTAGCA